CACATAGAACAAAATCACCTTAAGAAGCTCTTCCTTATGTATGTTTTTCTCACATTATCTTTTCAAAATCTAAGAGATACATTCATTTTCTGCCCCCCAAATTTTCAAAGTTAAAAACTTTTAGTAGATGATCATCTAAAAGACCATAAAAAAACCTGAACCCAATAAAAATAAATAAATGAAAGAAGAAAAAAATAGAAAAAAGTGATGGGGAGATATAGGAGGTGTTGGAGGGGAGGGAGTGGGCATGGATTTGATCAAAACACCTTATATGCATGTACGAAATTCTCAAAAAGTTTTTGTAACAGTTAAAAATAAATAAATAAATAAATAAATAAAATAGAAAAAAATCTAAACCCTGAGAAACAGTCAATTAATTCCATCTTTCATCAAGCTGGTCAAAGCAAAAGCAGACATAGAAACATACAAAGTTTGAGATCACATTCACTCTTGCCTAAGTATACAAATGATGAAGTAACAAAGAAAAAAAATCACTGGACACAGTAAGAAGCATTTCCATAACACAGTATCTGAGGAAGAGAAGACATTGCTAATCTCCTAGAATGATATCATTAGCTGTACTAGCAACAATCATCTGACGAAGTCAGGCGTGCAGGAGCTCTGCTCCACAGCCCCAATGCAAATAAAAACTATCTTACAAAGTGACAAATAATGTAGCTGTTCACCTCTATTGGTGATTCTCACATGATGTATTCTACCTGGATTATGTCATCAAATACAATAATCCTTCCATGGGGTGCTATTATCAGCCTTCACACATATGAAAGCATGGCCAATGAACAGCTACCCAAACCAAGGTCATACCAGGTGTAGACAAATCTAAAGGTGGAGTTGATACATATCTTTTAAATGGGAAAATAAAAAGCCAACATCAAATAAACAAAAAATCTTCCTAAATATCTATAATTACAAAGATATCACTAGTCATTGTTCAATAAAGAAAAAGGTTCTCAATAACTTTTCATCAAGACAATCACTGTTTTTGGTCACACACACATATGTAATAGTATCTCTCATCACAACCCAGGGCTTGAGCACAGGGAGAATACCACCTGGCTGTTCCCAGTAGTCCTTAGGAGGTGTGTGCCCCACCTTGAGCGTTCCACAGCATAAATACATTTGTAAGCAGTACTTCCCTGGTTCCTCCCAAATATCACTGGTGCTCCAAAAGACTTTTTAAAAAATATTTAATTTTTAATTTTATTTTGTGTATGAGTGTATTGCCTGCATGTATGTGAGTGCACCCGTGTTCTGCAATGCCTCGGAGGTCAGAAGAGGGCTTCGGATTCCCCTGAAACTGGAGTTAAGGTTCGATTCCCAGCACCCACATAGCTGCCAAAAGACTTTTAAATAAAAGATACAGTCAAAGATTTTGCCACATTCTTTCATGCAAGACTCATGTGCAAAAAAAATCACATAATTCAAAATCACATTATTCAATACTAGCTTATAATAAAGAAAACTGAATTAATAAAAAATAATAGCCTGCTATTTTTCCCTCAGGTTTAATCTGTTGTTTCAGCAGCAGTAATGATCTCATTGCATTTCTACTACCTTGAAAGAATTTAAGATGGATTTTTTTTTTGGAGGACTGCTATAAAATTATCATTGACATTTTAATTAAAAAAAGAAATGTATGTAGAATAAACAGGACGTTTCCTCCAACAGTCTGCAGTGACTGCTCCATTGCTTCTTTGTACACTCTTAGTAAATTATGCAGGATCTCACCAGCGAGAGCAGCTGTATCTCACTGTCTTCAGTAATGTAATCTACATTTATCACTATTTTAATTAAGCAGATTCTTAATTTGGTACTATCACTATGAAGGAAAAAAAATCTCCCTTTCTGTCTCTCTGTCTCTCTCTCTCCCCCCACTTGTAGAGAGCATCTTGTTAGTCTTGTAAGCTACTCTCTAATTTTAAACAAGTTTCCTAATGCAACTAATCATTTTAAAAAGAACTACCATGTTTTGTTAATTAACTTCTTCATTTGCATTTTGTCTGATTAAGACACTGATTTTTTCTTTATAATGATGAAAACGGTACTTTCACAGTTCTCAATTTTAACCCCAATGATCCTTTACTAAAAATAACATACTTATTTTAATACTAAATTTAAATTTACTCAAAATCAGTATAAACACAAATAAAAATTTTGCTAGAAAAAAATAACACTGAATGTTGAGAAGATTTAATTTAGAAGGTCTCTGTGTAAACTATTTTTGTCACTGGATAATATATAATTTCTGAATCTTC